CACTTATAATTACGCTACTGTTACTTTTTGTACCCATCAGAGAGTACTTAAAAAAATAAAACTTAAGGACAGCTCATTATAAATTATAGAAATCAATCAGACTTTCAAGGAAGAATTTTTACTTAAGCTATTCGAAATCAGCTCAATGAATGTAAATAATACTTATGAGCTCCATATTTCAGCTCGAATACAGCTATACTGATAAGTTTTTTCTTTCATTTGAAATTGCAATTGATTATTTTGATGGAGACGCAATACTTACGAGTCTTTGGCAATGATTTATATCAACTTTCTCTTGGTGGGTGATGAACAGTAATTAGAATTCACAGTTGATGTCTGTTGATTTTGTGGCAGAAGATAGTTATGTTTATTTTCACCAATATCCAAATTTTTCTAACAACTATAAACTCGCGGCCCTAGTATCTTTCCTATGTTGATTGCAATTATCATCGAATAAAGCCGACACGCTCCATTCAGTAGTATACAATCTAGAGGGGCTGCTTTCATTCTATGAGAGCAATAACTGATATTCTTCAAAAGAATCTTTCTATCTCGATGGAGATGAGAATATTAGTCTTATCACAACCACAAAGCATGGATACGAAAGGAATGGGCAAATAGATTCAATGGTATAGTCAAGATGATAATTGATGCGTGACTTGTAAGCATTCAGAAATTAATAGTAGGGCCACTTTCTTTTTATTTGAAAACGAAAAACATACCTTTTCGACGTAGATTTACTGTAAAAGATTTGAATGTAAGACTTACCAGATAATGAGACTATCAGCAGTTCCACAAAAGCAATTGCATAAAGCCATATGTAGATTGACGTTTGCATTTCTGTAAACGACAAAGGAATTGAAATGAGAGAGAGAATGTGTAGATGTAGATAAAATGCGGCTCAATTTATAGGCGAGCTTGTTTTTCGTTACGAAGGCCAAAAAAATAAGTATATTTTCTCATGGAACAATTAATATGTCTCAGCTGCATTTAATCACTAAAAGGAATAATAGATAATGTCTTTGTTTCTATTCACATAAAATTTATATTTTGTCTTTGGCTTTCTGTTTAATACAGCAATTTGAAAAGTACATTTGTAATTATTTCTTTCATTAGTGCAACATGTTATTCTTTATTCATCGAAAATCATTTATATCCGACGCCTACGCATTGTATCCGAATTCAAAAAAATATTATTCTTTTCAAATGGAATGTATGCAAAAGAATAAGTCAGGTTATCTAATGCGCATCGATTCGCCATTTTTTCATTGTTCTTAAATATATATTGACAAAATGATTTATATTCGATTATATGTAATTTAATTTATATTCAGGTAAAGTATTGCTGAGGTTGAACATTCTGGTCTTCGAAAACGATATTCAAAGTTACTTGAAATGTCTTTGTAAACAACACATTGTTTTTTTCAAAATCCAAAAAGAAGTAGAATGGTATATTTTCTCAACGTAAAACGAACAGCGTTCTGTACAAGCATTTCAGCTGAAAATGTTGACTAATAGTAAACAGTTTTCTTTCTTTTTATAATGCGTAGGTTTATTTGAGAGGCTAATTCACCCCAGGGGTGCTGGCAGCCTAGTAATAATAATTTGTACAAGACGAAAAAGAAAACAGGAAATGAAAGTAGGTGTTAAGAAGTAACGATTAGAATCAGTGAGAATAGCAGTAGTGTACGTTGTTTTTCAACTTTTCCATGCGAAGTTACAAAGTTTGTCAAAATTGGTGGAGTTGTCGGTTTGTGCAAGAGAGACGATTCGTTTGTTTGACCTTCCAATCAGAAGCCTAATTATATTTGGTGTCATAGTAATGTTGCTGTACATTATTCTTAATATTTTGTATAGAATAAAAGAATCCAAGAGATCCTGCTCATATAATTGTATATTTTTCACTCTTTTGAATAGGCATTTTTGAAATTTTTCCTTTAAAGTTGGAATTTTAATGTTTGATGAAGATCAGTTGTAGAAACTCTATACGAACAGTATATGAGCCTGAGACAACGTCTGTAGAATGAGTTGTTTGAAAATTTTTTATTTTCAACGCAAAAAACGTTGGAAACGCGCGATGTATATATTTCAATATTGAGTAAGACTTTCCTAGCTTGACGAGTTGAGCATTTATCATGGTGTTGAATGACAATTTAGAGTCAAAATGAAAGTCTAAATATGTGAAACACTTTTGTCGCTGAATAGATTGCCCTTGGTAGATAATTCGAATTTTTGGAATTTGAACTGTTGTGATAAATGACAAATTCTGTTTTCTTGTTATTAACGGGTTGATGATTTGATTCAGCATAGTTAGCTAGTTTCAAAAGGTCGTTGTTAATTCTTGTTTCTATTTCATTTGCTTGCTGTGCATATTTGAGATAGATTGATGGAAAATATAAAATAGCTAAATCATCAACATATTGATGGAAAATATAAAATAGCTAAATCATCAACATATAGATGGTAAATCGAAATGGTTTACAATATAAGCTTTAGGTCCAAAGCACGAACCTTGTGGAGCTCTACAAGGTACTTTAACTTGTTTTGAAAGATGTCCTTGATAGTCAAGAGTAATTGTAAGATCTTTAAAATAATTAATAATCCAAAATAAATGATCATACGGACAATTGAGTTGATACAGTTTTAAAATAAAACTTTGGTGCCATAGCATGTCCAATGCTTGTAGGGAGTCTACATATATAATCACAGAGAATGAGTTATGGTTTAATGATTGAGTTAGTTGTTCCATAATATGGTTTACTCTTGTTAGACTGGATAGGTGTTGTCTTGAACCAGATTGCTGATAGGGTAAAATGTTGTTCACTTGTATCCATTTGTCAAATTTTAACAGAAAAAGCTTTTCATATATTTTGCTAAAAGATGGGAGAAGAAATATCGGTCGAAGTTAATTTGCAGATGGGGCAGAATTGTCCACTTTGTTGAGACAAATCGTTCTTGCTTGTTTCCAACTCGTGTCCCAAAAGGCATTTCTGAACAATGTATTGTACACCGAGATTATATGTGAGTAATAACTCTCTGGTAAGAGTTTAATCATTTTATTCGATATACCATCAAAATACCAAGAATTTGATTTTTTTCATATTTTTAATAATTAACTTGATATCATGAGTAGTGAATTTAAGATCAGAGTTTTCACACACCAGTTCAATGTCATGTTGGCTTAAGTTGGATAATTTATTCCATAGATTCGAAGCTAATACATTCGTTGTGTTATTGATACTTAATTTGGGGGCAGTAAATCTATTCGAGAAGTGTTCATGTAAAGTATTAATAATTTCATCAGGTGTTTTGTATATATGCTCATTTTCTGTAAAAGCTGAAAAATTACTTGATTTCTTTTTATTGATGCATTTGACGGTTTGCTAGAAATATTTTGGGTTAGGAAAAGCAACTTGGCTTATGAAAATGCTCCATCTGTTTTGCCAGAAAGAGTTTAATTCATGTTGAGTTAATTTGTTCCGCGAACGTAGGCGTACTCTATCTTCTTCCAGTTTGCTATGCCGATATTTATTTTGTAAGTATTGTTTGTGTTTGAGCATTGCTCGAATTGAGGAAGACAGCGTTGGTCGTTGTTGTTTCGTCGTATGAAAAATTGTTGCTCTAGTTTTGATTGCTTGTAGCAGTTGGTGAAAAGAATTAAACCATTCAAATTGATCAATTATAGTTGTTTTCACATTTTCTTGTTGTATATATGAGCAAATAGACGTTAATAGAATTTTATAGATATTTCAATATGCTTTTCCCTAGACTGAAAGGATAGGGTCTAGAAACCTAAATTTTCTGTGTTTGGATCGGTGACGTCTATGTTTAGATCGGTGACATCTGTGTTTGGATCGGTGGCATCTATGTTTAGATCGGTGACATCTGTGTTTGGATCGGTGGCATCTATGTTTAGATCGGTGACATCTGCGTCTGGATCGGTGACGTCCATGTTTAGATCGGCAACATCTGCGTTTGGATCGGTGACGTCTACGTTTGGATCAGTCGCAGAGGCTGTTTGTGTATTTTAGTGTAATCTTCGAGGTAAATTCGGTCTTCTGATGGATTTTCTAGCTACATGTTCGACTCTACTTTTTTTGCCATTTTTTTCTAGTTAATTTTCAAAATTATCGTAAGCTTTTTCTGTCTTTTAAATATCAGTCTCCCCAAGTAAGCAAAAAATGAAGGGAGACTGCCAACATGACTAGTCAGAAATGTCCGCAGCTTCCGTCAAGTCTAGTCTGAAACGTCTTGCATACTCGTCTTGTCGAGTCAGCTTAATGAGGAGTGTCTTAGAAACACGTCTGTACTAGTCTGAAATGTCGTTGAGCCCAGAAATGTCTAATCCGTGTTGTCTGCTGACCTAGCCCAGACTAGTAAGAAGATTAAAAACAGAGGTTACACGGTGGACTTGAACATCCAGCCCGACAGTGTTCGAGATATGACGGATATCCTGACGGGATACTACACTGGGAAAAAAATAGCACCATACGGAACCATTTTTGAAACGAATTCTAAACCCTCAAAAAGGTTTCGTAAAAGCCCAAGATAGTCTCAAAATTATTATCAAGAGTCCAGGAAACTTTTTCGAAGGTTTTGTGGAAAACCTACGAAACCTAAAAAAGGTTCAGAATTCGTTTCAAATCTCGAAACCCTTTTTAAGTTTCGTAGTGCCTGCGAAACCATTTTAAAGTTCAGTGAGAAAATTCGAAACTTTCTTGGTTCCGTGTAGTGCTATTTTTTTTCTCAGTGTAGGATACTGAAATAGACTGCCATAAGTATATATAGTCTAGAATCATAGATTGACTCCCATCCATGCATAGAAAATCAGAATCAAACCGACGTAAACGGTATTGACTAGTCTGAAGCATCTTCTGGGCACCTCATGACCAGTCCGTTTTTTAGAAGTGTTTATTTTACTCAATGCTTGTCGAATTTTTTTCTACCTAGAAGTACAATTAGAGAGTCTGCTGTAATCAATAGTGTATTCGAAAGGATTTAATATATTGCGTGCATCCCTGTCTTGATATATTTTATTTTATTTTACATTAGCTAATGCTAAAAGTTTAAGAATGTATCAAAGCATAAAATAGTAGGGGCTAGTACTAACAACAAAATTCATCTCGTATCTAGGAGTGCCAATTTATATATTTTTTTTCAAAATGCGAGATGTACTAAATTTAAAAAAATTGAGAAGCATCTAAATCTTTTCATATAATACTATTATGTTAGTTTATTTTAAATATCAATTCTAATAATTTAAAATAAACCAAAAATAATTTAATTATTAGATGAATATACGGTGATTTAAATTTAGAACTAACCTAAAAAATAATATGAAAAAAATTAGATTTTTGCCGGTATAAATTATTTTTATTTTTATACTCAAATTAATGTTTTTAAAACCCTACTAATTAATCGCATTTGCTTATAAATCTAAATATATTTGTCGAAAAAATTATAAAATCTTTTTAATTTATTTTTATTCAATGTTATCTACCCAGGAGATTCAATCCGACCAGTGGATCCGATCGTTTCCGGCACGGGATCCTATGGATTCCGTTGCTTTTCGGTCGACTCCGTTGAATTCCGACGATTTCCTAACTAACGGATCCCGGGCCGGGTTCCGCCGGAAAAATTCCGTTAAGTTCCGACCCGGAATTCGTCGGAAATCGACGGAACCGATGGGAATCGATCGGAAATGGTCCGACGAAATCTGGACCGGAATCTGTTAGTTAGGAAATCGTTGGAATTCAACGGAGCTGATCAGTTCCGACCGATTCCGACGTACCCTGATTCTCCTGGGAGTGTTTATCGTTGTTTTTTTACAGCTTTTAAGTAAACATATGAGCTGTAATCAATAGAAGATTTCTTCCGATTCTCTTAAGCTAGTTTCTATGCAAATAAATGATTTGATTTCTATTGGTTTCAATATGGTTACAACGAATATTGTTAAAAACATGGCATACTTTGTATATAAATACTTGCATTTTTAACTGCAATACATCGGATAATATTAAAAAGAAAAAAACTCATCAGTAAACACAATAAATAAACGATGCACAAAACCATATTTCTTGTGAGTAGTTCAATCTGAAAGAAAGGTTTAAAATAGAAATTTGTTTTAGTCATGTTTGGTAATCATCATTATCTCATCGCTCGATTTGACAAATTCACAATCCACACGGCAGTCCTTACATGAAGTTTTGTCAATCAAGCGGGCCGCCAGGGATGTCTATGACGAAGTTACATCAATTATTGTGGCCGGCATTCATGATTCCTCCGGGTTCTATACAATATCCTAATTCTAATAGATATATTGCATCTCCACAAAATTCAAAGCCCCTGTTTCAACAAAATAGTGATTGGCAACAAGGATGTGTTCATTTCTTCAATGGTTTAGAAAATCAATTTAAAATTGATATTCAACAGTCACAATCACTAAAGCCGTTTCTAAATCTCATCGCATATCTGGAATCCTTTTCAAAACGTTAGTTTATCCTTGAACCTAGTGTATCCCAACTACGAGAAACTAAATTGACTATTACTTCCTTAAACCAGCTTTGTAAGCTGAACTTCGAATATTTTGATTTTTTCAATGAAATAAAATTCATCTAAAATAATCGAATGGGCTATGATTCACCCTGGATGTGTGCCATCGAGCTAATAGATACATTTAGAAAATTCAATATTATATACTTTATTCATACTTTTCGGTACTTTTTTGAAATGTATATCTATTCGCATCAATTTATAACATCTGTTTCGAACGGAGAAAAACTACTCGTTCAAGTAAGAAAAGACACGGCTGAAGTTTTCATTACTAATGCATTATAATGGTAAATCCCACATAACTATGTGTCAAATTCAGTATTTATAAAGCGCAATAGACAGTTATATTTACGAAAATCGATAAAAATATTTTTTCGATTGATCGTCTTCCAAAACAAGCAATAACATATAATGAACGCATTCAAATATTTACTTAGCTTTTAGAAGCTTCATATTCAAGTACCCAGGCCACTCATTCCTACAATTGGATCCAATCAAATCTGAAAACGGGTTACCTCGGATCTCACATGAGACCCCACGAGAATCGACAGATTTCGGGTTTCAGACCGAGATTCAGATCCATAGGATCGGAATCTGATTAGTCGACCTGGGTAGGCTTTTTACTTTTACAAAAGAAAAATCGATGCTACACAGAATTGTCGATTTTATTTTTAATGTATAGTGATTTTCAAAGTGTAATCGAATGTTTTCTTCAGAAAATGATAAATTTTATAGTACCTGTTTCACATAGAAGCTGTCCTCCCTAGTCAACTCTCTCTAGAGAAATCCCCGGGGAGTCCCCCAAATAAAAAGTCCCTGGGGACTCACGAGAGGGACTCCCCAGGGATTTCGTTATTTTGCGAGGACTCCCCGGGGAGTCATCGGGGGAGAGTGGATTAGGGCCTATGTTAGTAAAACCAAAAAGGTCTTTTTTTATATCAATCGATCGAAATTTTTTGTTTCGATATTTATACTATTTTCATCGAAATATTTACTTTTACAATGGAAAATATATAGAGTTGTAATTGACAAGAGTTTTATATTTTCGATCAATTTTTATAACTAATTTTTTTCGTAGATACTGTCATTTGTCGCTTTCTTGTTCGTTATACAACACTAAAGAAAACTATTCTACTTTGAATGAATATGTTACGTTCATTCATGATTTTAAATTCATACAACAAATAATAAATACAGAAAATATTATTCGTTTTTCCTCCCGACAATATGTTAGTTTCACGTATTGGAATCATATCAGGAGCAACTACTGATCATATGAACA